AAAATTTAAAGTAAAAACAGCAGAACAGAGGGCTTTTTGCCAGCTGGTAACGAGAACAGGGAGGCGGACTGGGGGATTTTAAATGGATCCCTTACCCTTCAGATGCGCGCTGTAGTCCGTTCCCCGTCGTCAGCCTTTCCAACTGGAGTTCCAAGCCATCCCACTGCTGACACCAAATTGAGGGGGAAATCTCGCTCCCCTGGGGTACAGAGCCCCCAGAATGGTCCGAGGCCGGAGGTCAAATCAAATCAGTGAGGCAGGAGAGAAATCTAGAAGGGAAAACTTTATTATGTCTACACTGCAGGCTTACCTCAAAATAAGCTACTCAAATTGTGTAGCTTATTTTGAAACTACCTTGAAATAGTACCAAAATTCAAAATAGACCACTCTTCCGAAATGTCCCTTAACCCTTGTGGAATGAGGTTTACAGGGATGCTGGAATAGTGCACCCGTTATTTCAAAATAACAGGCTGCTTTAAAGATGTGGAATAGCTATTTGGGATACTTCCAGTATTCCAAAATAGCTTCAGTGTAAATGTAGCCTAGATTAATCTGTTAAGTAACTGGCTTCAAAGAGGGACTCTGCTCCAAATGCCATGGCCCCTTTAAAGCCATCTGGTTTGTAAACCTGACACTTTCTCTTATGCGTGCTAGTTATGGGCCAAGAGCAGAGGTTTTTTGGTTCTCCTCCCATAATCTGACTGACTATCTGAAAGGTTAGGATAAGTGGGATTGTGTTGTAGTCAGTCTCATTAAAGGGGAATGAGACTAAACTGAAACTTGATTGGTATGAAAGGACACTAATTTAGTAAAAAAAATGCATCTCACGAGACATAGATCTTGAAATGGTTATAAAAAAAAAATCAGTAATTGTTTGAAGACTATGCAAATTGCTAAATATTGCTCCTAGAGCTTTCCTCCCTCGTGCCACTAATCCTGATAATCTTATGCAGTTACAAACTCTATAGCAGTTAAATATTGATGAGAATCTGACCATTGTTCAGTTATTAGCAATGTGCTAATTTAATAAAAATTCTAAATTTTTAATCCTTTGTAATGATACCCAAGTTACAAATCTTGCCACAATTCATCACTTAAAAACTGTACATATGAATCATTTTCCATTATGCTCTGTCAATCTATTCATCCTAAAGGTTAACAAAAGCTGGCTAATTATATTTTAAACAATAAAGGAATAGGAAATATAATATTCAGCATAAGATTTAACATTCTTATAGCTTCATTTACTGATCACATAACTGCTTAGGCTTTTTACATTTCCTAAATCTGATCCCATTTTAAGAAGCATGAGCAATGCAAGCAAATACAAATGTAAACAAAGTCATGTTACAGGCTGCCTTAGCCAAGGACAAAAAGGCAATTGATTTGACAAATTTAAGGCAAGCTATTTATAGTTTGAAATATACTGTACTTATGGCACATAAAACACCAAAAAAGTTAGCAGTGTGAGACATTAAATAGGAGTATCCATATTTATATTGTGTACTATACACACACACACCCACCAACCACTTTTTTCTAAAATAGAACATCAAGTTTTTCCTGCCCAACTAAATTAGTTTTGAAAGACCATTTGTGGATGGCTACAATGCACACATCTTAAAGTAATGTTACTGTTTTATTCACTCTAGTGCAAACTATGACTTGTTAAATCCAAAACAACTCCTTAATTGGTTAAATCTCTAAGGATCAGTGAATGCCCCATTTTTTTTCTTCAATACAGCAAAATTCAATTTTTTTCAAGAGAACAGCAAACACTTTCCCTAACAATTAGCATGCTGTTCTATTCTACAGTAACAAAGCTCACCACTATACAAAAATCAGATTTTGGTCATGCAGCAATAGACCATCCTCACAATAATCGGCCAGTCTAAAAAAAGAAGCACTGTTCAATGTTTCACTAACAGGTCATCCGTGCCACTCCATATTCCAAGCTGACAACAGCAGGCTCAGTTTTTGACAACTCCTCCATGTATTCACTGTAGCGATTGTCTGCTGTGTTGCTGCCCTCTATAGTTCGAATGGAGTCATTCAGAGGTAACAGAGGCTGCTGCTTCTTAAAACACGGAGAAGTTTTAAGCATTGGTGAAGTAGGATGGACAGACTGCAATAGTTCTTTAGTGAGGAGTTCTTCCGTTTGCCTGTTTCTTTGTTTCGCTTTCTGAAATAACAGGATTTATAAAATTTATTGTTCCTAGTATCCATCATTTCTTGGGATAAAAATAAAACTTAAGATGAGCTACTTAGATCACTTCCAACACACTTGTTCAAAGCCATGTCCCCCCAACTGATTGTTTTGGCCTTTTGACAGTACAGATGCCAGCTACACACGGAGTGGAGTTTTACAAGTAGGTGGAGACAGAGATTCAAAGCCTGCTAAATACACAATGTATAATACACTATACCAGACAAAAAAGAACAAAAAGCCATTTCTCAACACTCAATGCAAGAATCTGGCCACCTAAAGAACCAGAACACTCCCTTTCAAAACACACTATTATAAATCAATGTGGTCAAGATTCAGTTGCAAGTTTCCACGCAAATGTGGAGAATTACAAAAAAAAAACAATCAATATGTTAGGAGACAAAACATTTGAGAAATTATAAAAGTTTAAAGAGAAGTTTAATTCCTAAGAATGTCAAGATTTTAGGTTTTCAGGTTACTTAATCCGGATCTGTGACATTATGCCAAGATTAGCCCAACAGAATCTTAAAAATAAATAAAAAGATTTACTTTCCACTATAGCATACACAGGAGAGAAACTTCAATTGAGCATTTCAAGATTTTTGATGCAAAATTTTGTTCACTTTTGAGAACTTTGGGAATTAGTGACATTTTAATTCCACATTTTCAACATCTTAATTCATCACTATAAAAAAATGTAGTAAAATACAATAACTTTTTACGTCCCTTTTTGAAAGTTGAACAGTTAACCAGTTGCTGACTGGGAGCCCAACTCTAAAAGCGGCTCTGCAGCAGTACAGAAATCCCTACAGTTATGACTGAAGTTTCAGATATAAGTGTCATGATTTCAGCTATGTATGATTTTTTAAAATTCTAGAAGTGTAAAATTGACCAAAATGGACCATGAATTTGGTAGGGCCCTACATATCAATAACAGCTGAGATAGATAAAAGATCTGTCCTCTGTGGTTGATAGAGAAAGAGAGCACAAATGTAATGGTGGGTGTCCAGCCACACAAAATATACGTATTTGGGAGAATTTAACCAGTATTAAATAAAGTGCTCTTCTGGTATGAATCTTTTCCTGCTACCAAAGAACAAACGCACAGTATAATAGGAGAATAAAATGTCATCAGTCTAAAAGTTAAATGTTTGGCAACTACGTAATCTTGTATGAGTACACAATGCCAAATGCGTACAACAAAACAAAGCAAACAAAACTGTGCTTTTTTTTTTAAAGCTACAAGTAACAAGTGCTAACTGAACTCCTTACTATAAGATTATAAAAAACAAACTTGTCTTTCAGATTAGAGGTCAGAGTAAGTTCTCTTATTTTATAATACTCACAGCTTCCAGTTCTTTGAAGTCTTTCTCCAGTTGCTTATTTTGTTCACTCATGGTCATAATGAGATTAGATACAGATTGCCTGGGATGCATAGTTCGGTCAAATTGATGGTACATATTTCTCCAAAATCTAAGGGTATCAAAACACAAAACAATTTCAGCAAGCCACTCTAACAGGAGAAATTAAACAAAATATAAATAGTCTAACTTACTTAAAATTGAAGGACACTGTGTTAGGCTCCAAGAGGACAAGTTTCTGAGAAAAATCTGGTTTGTATAGAGGATTTAGATACTTCTTTAGTTCATCCAGAAGGAATGGCCATAAGGAATAAGTTCTCTCTTTCAATCTTAAGATAAGCAGAAATGTAAGTCAAGACACAGTGGGAGAATAGTAGTAATGCTAGCTCTCAGTCTTACAGTTCACCTCAATCAAAGCAATCAATCCAAAACTAGATCATTGCTTTTCACCCCCACAATTATCAGAAATGCAGTCTTGAATTTAGAATGAGACCCACTACCCAGTTCTTCTATCTGTCCATCTTATGACTTTATAAAATTCCCCTTCATTCTGGTGGTCAAGTACCAAATATTCTTGGGAGAATGGAATTTCTGAAATAGTTCTTACATCAATCACTTCAACAGGAATTAACAAAACTACTAAATTTTATTACCGGGCTTAGAACTAAATAGTACTTTAGGAAACTATGTTTTGCATAATTACAAGTAACTCAGAAAAAAAGTGGCCATTGTAGATTACTTGATAAAATAGTAATAAATGTGCAACAAGGAAGAATTCTGGAGTAGAAAGAGCATGGACACAGGCTTACTATTTTCCTCTTCATTAACTTAAATAATTTTTGGAAAAATGTTGGGGGTAAGACAGATGTGTGATTTTTCTTCTTCAAAATTAGAAAGAAGGTTGTTAGCATCAGAAAGCATAAGAATCATTGCTGTTTTCCAATGCAAGTCAGCTACTCTTTTCCCATTACAGAGCATGTCTAGTTTCTTTTATTGAGAATCCCAGCTGAAGATTTATACAAGTTCTTAGCTTACTTGACCTAAATGAAAAACGTTTGCAATAAGTCAGCTTACTTTAGTTCTTCTCTCTCTTTTTGGCAGTTTCCAAGAAAGTTTCCAAATTGGCATGAATGGACGTGTTCATGGATCTGAAGGAGAAAAGCTTCATTGTATTCAAAAGCTTGTGGAAACTGCTCTGTGAGATGCCACACACCTTCTAAAAACTGAGTGAACACTGGAGAGATTTCTTTTGGATCACCATCCAATTGACCACATCTACAAAAAGATCCACAAAGACATCAGAGAAATTCAGATATTGTTTTTAAATATGAATAAGCTTTTTTTTTTTTTAAAAGACAAATCCTCTGCATTTATTTTGAGTAGACAGTCAGGAAGTACATTCATTTTAAAAAGGTATATTTTTAAGACCTGTAGTGCAACTCCACTCCAGACAAGTCATGATATGGAAGAGCACTTCAGGACAAACCACCATAGTGTCATGGATCTATAAAGCTAGAATAGTAGAGTCACAAAAGAGAATTTTGTTTTTGGCTTTCTATTTAGTTAACGGGCTCAGTTTATACAGCTTCAAGAGAAACTGGCCTGGTTTTAAAGGGAAAAAAGAAATCAGGCCTCAAAATTTGTCTTCTAAAGCCACATTGAGATAATCCATCTTTATCCTGAGTTTTTAGCATTACAGAATACATATACAATTATATCTGTACTGAATAATATAACAGAAGGATAGTTAAGTAGCTCCTTAACATCTGGTATTGTAATAGACCTCAGTACTGCACATTCAGAATCTACCAACATGAAATAATTGGTAGTGTTGTCTTTGCCAGCAGATAAAGTATGTCTACATTGCATCCAGGAACAAGCTTCCCTGCCCCAGTCCAGTGACTTCTGATACTGGGGCCAAAGATACTCTGCTATAAATAGCTGTGTAGACAACACTTTGACATTGTGGGTTGAGCTCTGAAGCCTGAGAGTAAGCAGGGGCTTCAGAGCACAAGCTCCAGCCTTAGCCACAACAAAACAACATCTATGCAGCTGTCCTTATTTGGTAATAGAGATGTAGCCATGTTAGTCTGGTCTTGCTGAAACAAGAGACAGGACTATGCAGCACTTTAAAGACTAACAAGATGGTTTATTAGGTGATAAAGTGGGTCTGGCCCATGAAATAAACCATCACCTAATAAACCATCATGTTAGTCTTTAAAGTGCTGCATAGTCCTTACTTATTGAGTGTGTGAGCATAGGCCCTGCTTTTACAAATCAAGCCTTGTCTACATTTACCATGAGATGGACACTGAGATAGATATCTGGGCGGGGGGCGGGGGGGGGAAGAATGACTATTTAGAAGGTCTATAAAGGACGTGCTAAATCAACTGCTGATGGCACTCCCATGAACTCTGGAACTCCACTGGGTCACGAGGAATAAGAATCTAAGGGAGAGTTTCTCCCAGGAAGGCCTAGGGTTGCCAGGTGTATGGTATTGACCTGGTCACTCCAGTATTTTTGCCTCCTGTCCAGTAAAAATATTCAGGAAAATACTGAACACCTAAAATGTCCGATATTTTCTGATTTTTTTTTCCTGTCAGGAGGCGAAAATACCAGACACTTGGCAACCCTAGCGCCCGGGCCCAGGGAAATTAAGTTCTGGCTTGAACAAGAACACAAAATGGCCACCGGCAAAAAGCCTAAAGACCAAGGGGAAGCAATGCCTTCCCTGGGTCTTAGTGCTCAACCTCTCCCCTGTTCTAATCCCTAGTCTAACTCTGCACTCACTCCAAAAGGGGCCATGCTGTTTTTTATTATTAATTATTATTATTATTTAGCTTAATAAGTCTTGGAGTCCTTTTTTTGCTCAACAACTTTGGTTCCCCCCCCCCAAATTTTTTCTCTGGAGGTTTTTTTTTGGGGGGGGGGGGTGTTCAGTATTTTTGGTTCAACCATCTGGCAACCTTAGGAAGGCCCCCACAAGTGGCGACACCGTGGTGACTCCTACTAAGGTAGGTCAACTCAAAGTAAGCTATTCACATAGCTCAAGTTGCATATCTGAGTTCTACTTTGCCTCTAGTTTAGGCCTGGTCTCAGTGGAGCCTGACAGGGGCTCAATCCCAGATGCAATGCATTCATACTAAAGGTTTACTATGTGAATTACCACAGCTAGGAGTACTTTTCTCCAAAACACCAAAATAATTGGAAATTTTTCAGAACAGTTCTGATAGTTCTATACAGCTCATCAATTTACTAACTATACGTTTAATAACTTATTATCTGATAGATTACAGCAATTATTTAAATTGTATTTTCACATTCATTAGTAGATTTTTTAGGGGAAAAACAGTGCAAATATATCAGCTTCTTTAACCTACAGCACAACATAGTTTCACATTCTATGAATGAATCAGTGCTGCAGCCTCCATACACACATCTAGCTCCAAGCCATCAAGCCCAATGACTGCAGGAGTCAGTCCTAGGGCAACAAAAATGAGGATCAGACACCGCAGTGAAAGACATACATAAAAAAGCCTCATCTGCTAACTTTTATTTTCTTTCACTGTTGCCATCCAATTCTTTGTAACTCTGAAATACAGGCAGTCCCCGGGTTACGTACAAGATAGGGACTGTAGGTTTGTTCTTAAGTTGAATCTGTATGTAAGTCGGAACTGGCGTCCAGATTCAGCCGTTGCTGAAACTGATCAGTTTCAACAGTGGCTGAATCTGGACACCAGTTCTGACTTACATACAGATTCAACTTAAGAACCCCAGGCATCCCCAAGTCAGCTGCTGCTGAAACTGATCAGCGGCTGATTCCAGGAAGCCCGGGGCAGGGGCTTCCTGTAGTCAGCCACTGGTCATTTTCAGCAGCTGCTGACTAGGGGACACCTGGGGCAGAGCAGCTGGGGTGCTGCTGGGTTGGTCCAGTGGCACCCAGAGCGGCGCTACGGGACCAACCGGCAGCGCCCCAGC